TTTTTTTTTGACATATGGAAAGGAGTTTTGGAGGAAAACATGTACTAATCTAGCCTAATGGATGAACTTGTAAAGTAATAGCTTTAAATGCATTGTAAACAGCCCCGAGGAGAAGGATTTCGGGTTGCTGGTTGACCAGAAAATCAGCATGACCCAGCAATGTACACTTGCAGCCCAGAAAACCTGGGCTGCATCAGAAGGAGTGTGACCAGCAGGTTGAAGCAGCTGATTCTCCCCCTTGTGAGACCCCACCAGGAGCTCTGGGACCCCCAGCATAAAAAGAACATGGACCTTCTCAAGTGAGACCAGAGATGGACATGAAAATGATCAGAATGAATAGAACTCCTCTCCTATAGTAAAAGGCTGAGAGAGCTGATGCTGTTTAGCCTGGAGAAGAAAGGGCTTCAGGGAGACCTTCTAGCAGCCTTCTGATACTTAAAGGGGGTTTACAAGAGGGCTGGAGAGGTACTTTTTGCAAAGACATGAAGTGACAGGACAAAGGGCAATGGCTCTAACCAGAAATAGTGTGGGTTTAGACTGCACATTAGAATGAAATTATTCACTGTCTAGGTGGTAAGGCATTAGAACAAATTGCCCAGAGTAGTTGTGGATGCCCCATCTCTGGAATTGTTCAAGGCCAGGTTGAATGGGGCTTTGAGCAACCTGATCTAGTGGAATGTGTCTCTGTTCCATGGCAGAAATGTTGGAACTAGATGATCTTTATGGTCCCTTCCAATCCAAACCATTCTATGATTTATGAGCTAAAACCAGCACACTAGGACTGCTCAATATATCTTATTGTTACCTTGTTAAACATCTGGATTTTAATAAAAAACATGGTAGCAATAGCCAAAGCCTTTAACAACTCTATAGTTATGAAAACAGGAGTTAGTGAGGGTAAATATGGTCAAACAGCTGGCTTTTATTTAGGAACCTAAATAGGATTTTCCCGCTGTCCCTTCATTTACAACATTATACAAGTAAACGAGTAATTAACAGCGAATTACTGGAGTAGACCTGCAAAGCACCTGAGGATAAATTGCTCTAAGCGACAAATAACCTTCACAGAGACACATTAAATTAACTTAGGTGATTGGGTAACTGTGACATAAGAGAAGGGTGTGCTGGACTGCAACTGTTGCTTGTGACAAAGAGGTTCTTACCCTGTTGTCCTATGACTGTACCTTAGACTGAGGTGCAGACAGAAGAGGGGTTTTCAGCTGAAGCACTGATGATGTTTGAATAAGGTGCTTGTATGAAACTTCTGAAGTTTTAATATGAGGAAAGTGGTGGTCCTTATTGAGTAATTGGTAAGTCGCTTACTGTCCTTTGCCAGCAAACGCACGCTTGCTTTCGGCAACCTGCAGGAGGTAGACAGTGCTACATAATGTCACCCTGCAGAAAAACTCACTGAGCTTTTAGGCTCACAAAATGTTGCACTTGCTCGGTTTGAAACTACTGGGTAGCTCAGCATGTTCCAAGCTACCTATGGACCAGCTGTGTGGCTCCGATTAACACCATCTGGCAGGACCAGAGCTGGGCAACCCCAGCAGTAATCATTTATTCTCTCCTTCAGGGAAAACCGGTGTGCAGTCACTTAAGACTAAGCACGAAGAAATATTAACTGTGCTGTAAATCCCAATGACAAAAGGAATGTGTGTCCAAGTAAAATAACATAAACATAGCCTGTGTGCCCTCAAAGTGACCTGTTCTTTGAAAAGGTATTGGTTTTTGTCATCAGAAAAAGATCATCACTGAAAACACCCTAAGGGAAGGAAAAGGATCATTGGTCTATGGTAAGGGTAGAGAGAGAATAATTCAGATTATAACAGGGGAAAAAGAGGTTCACTTTTCTCCTGATCTATTCCTAATATGCCAAAATGATTTAACAGAGGCTTTAGTTACATGAAGTACTTAAGACCTTATTTCTCTGCCTTAAGAAAGAAAGATAGATGAGGAGATGCAGCCAGGGGAGCTTGCCACAGTAAGAAAATAACCTTTGCTAAAATACTTGAGAGAACAGAGCTACAGTTTGAACTCTGCCCATTGAAAATTAAAGGTTAAAGGTTTATTGCCCATTAAAGGTTATTGAGCATTATAACTACATGGTAAGAAAACAGAAGAATTTGTGTTGATATTCACAGGGCTAAAAAATGGTTTGCAGAATTAGAACTTGAGAGTAAATTTTATGAGAGTGAGGAAAAATCTATATGGCTATAGACTAGGCATAGCTCTTTGGTCTCTGGATGTTTAAATAAGTTGCACCCTCTGTTTATCAGATTAATATCTCAATTTGGCATACACATTTTGCTGATTTCATTCCGAGTATTTTGCAAAGCTTTAGGTAGTGCTGTAAAGCACAATACCAGTGACAAATCAGGAGAGAAAATACTGACAACTAAATAAGCTTTAGAACAAACTATGAAGAGTTGGCAGCACAGACTGCACAAGATTTCTCAGGAACAGCACCTAAGTTGCTCTGTTTGAGGTCTTCTACTGCTTGAGAAGTGCCTTAGTGCACACAAATGTATATTCTACTGCATTACCGACATGTGCTGGCAATCTCTCAAAAGCAAGGTGCCACAAATGAGATGCAGGAATGTTTAGCTCCAGCCTCTAACCTTATGCAAAGAAGGCAAGAGACTCTAGAATTAAAATGTGTCTTCTGTGCCTACCATGTGACTCACACACAAACTACTGGTACAGCTGTGCTGTGGGGCAATTGAAAACCTGTAATTTCCTCC